TGTTGAATATTGTAAGCATATTTCAGATAATGTTTAATTGATAATCTGTTCATTATAGTAACCTGATGAATATTGTAAGCATATTTCAGATAGTTTAATTGATAATCTGTTCATTATAGTAACCTGATGAATATTGTAAGCATATTTCATATAATGTTTTAATTGATAATCTGTTGATTATAGTAAGTAACCTGATGATAGTTGTAAGCATATTTCAGATAGTTTAATTGATAATCTGTTCATTATAGTAACCTGATGAATATTGTAAGCATATTTCATATAATGTTTTAATTGATAATCTGTTGATTATAGTAAGTAACCTGATGATAGTTGTAAGCATATTTCATATAATGTAGTGAGTAATTGATCTGCAATCAGAGAGTATTGTTGAAGTTAACGTTCGTTGTTATAGTGTTTGTTTTAGCGCGAATGTTGAAATTTATTGTATTGTAAAGTTGTAATCGGAAAGAATAAACCAGTTTTATTAAGTTAGGACTTGTGTCGCTAAAGTTTAGTTGGAAAGAATTTATGGAAAAATTAATTAACAAACGGAGACGTAACAATATTAAACGTTAGGCCTTTGTCAATCGTTACACCTATCACTTCTACGGTATTTAACTTAATGCCAAACTTTTCCTTGTCCTGTAACTTTACTCTTTTTTTGCTATTATCTGTCTGCTTTTAACTTTTATTATAACAAAAACTAAACAATAATAAAATATTCACTCACAAAAATAAGTTAATCAATGATATCTAAACTAAACAGTCTTTTATATCATGACATAGTGTGGTCAGGAAAAGTTGAAGAAAGACCCAAGTTATTCCAAAAATAGGCTTAATAACTTTAGGTGAATGTAGTGGGAACATCAAAAAACAGATAAATATATAAGAATAAAATGATGATTTTCATCCTGGTTGAAGCTGAGGCATTTATTGATAATATTAGTCCCATTTCTGATATCTTTAATGCCATTCAAGGAAGTGCTCATAGACATGGGAAAGCACTCATCAAAGCATCATCAGCTACCAGATGACACTATCTGTCCACTTCCAAAAGGCAACAACCTTTCATGAAACTTCACTGTAAAAAGTGGAATTTTGTCTAGGACAATTAGAAAGGTACACGTGACAAGTGATAATCTCAGTTGAAAGAATCCACACACGGAGTGTCACATAAGGAAGTTTTTTGTAAATCCATAATCAAATAATTTCTCAATGTCAGAAACCCCTAAAACAAGGTTGTTGGACGATATAAAAATACTTGGGTTACCTAGGATAAATGCAGAAGTTAAAGAACATGCAAGAGTCCTGACTAGACCAAATAATAAAAATACAAATTCTCCATACATAAAAATAAACTGTATTTAACTATCTTTCTTGTTTCATATTATTTGTTTACAAAACAAAACTATTCACAAATCTAGACACCCTAAAAGTGGTTAACAATGGGTTTGATGTAAAACAGACAAAAACTCACAAGATACAGATTTTATTTAGCCTGGATAATAATCACAGGTGGCAAATGGAATCCTGTAAGTTAACATAGCAAAAATGTATTCAGATTCATCCCCATGTCAGCCTGTAAGTCATCCACTGAAGACATAGCCAACTATCTAATATGATAAGGTGTAACTTGAAATTCATGTTAAGACAGTCATGATAAACAAGTAGGATGAACTGCACAAGTCAATTAGTTAATATTTTCACACACATAGGTATATACGATATGAAGAAAAATTGTACACATTTAGTGAATGTGTAAGAGAAGCTACATTATGAGTCTTGACCAAGAAAGGAAATATATATGTCGGGCACAAACAAAGATGCATTCCAGGCATTATGGAGAGCCAACTATTTATCTTATCCACATAAACAGATGCATCTAGCAGAGAGGAAGCTATGAGAAAATATATGTTAACTTCATTAAAGGCAGGAAACAAATTCTATTAAAAGAATTAAAAAAGAAATCAGAGACTCTGGATGGAATTTTGATCAGCAGGAAGACGAGGAGAAATACATGCAAACTGGTGGTCAATTTACTGTCTTCGATTATAACTAATTACTGGATCAGTTTTGGTTCTAGTTCTGAGAATTACGATAAGACAACAAAATTCATCCAATTAAGTGACAGATCTACCTGCGAGTTAGATGTGTACACTACTTGGAGAATCGTAAGAATACAAAGAAAATTGTATAATAACCCATCTTTTGGGGTTAAACTTCAGTTCTCCAACATCGATGAAGAGGCCATTGTTACTGCTGCCAGAAGGTTCACTGCCTGTTTATGATGCTACCTGATCCAACCGCTCCTAATCTAAGAACATCTTTCAAGATGTCTGTCCTCCAACAAATACAGAATACCCACTGTTCAACCTTGATGTAAGAAACAATTGCTATTTCTCTCAGTTGAATAGCATAGTTAGGAAATTGATGTAAAATGTGTAATGATAAGGAGAACTCATAAAGTAAAATATGTCTGAGTTTTTCATATTATGTTTTAATTGATAATCGGTTGATTATAGTAAGTAACCTGATGAATATTGTAAGCATATTTCATATAACGTTTTAATTGATAACTTATTGATTATAGTAAGTAACCTGATGAATATTGTAAGCATATTTCATATAACCCTACACATTGTCCCATCACGTTGTCACTATCTTATATATACCAGTCTACCCCCCCCAGTCTAGTAGTCTCCCGATAATTCCCGAAGGTTCGAGAGAAGGAGTGGCATGATACTAGTCACATGACCTCGCTGACGCAACACTGCCCCCTCCTTACGTATTGTTCGTCCCGAACAATAGCCACATACACTAAACCAATAACAATAACTTAATTAAATGTACAGAATTACAAACACAAAATTACAATTCAACAAAGTCATTAAATTTTACGGGATGTATCTTCTTTCGTACTGGTC